AAGAATGGGATGGTGAAAGTGTAAGGATATTGAATGAGTGACCAAGTAATCTACTGTTTGTAAAAATTAAAAAAGAGCACATCGGCCTAAAATGTTCTATATTCAGAGGAAAATATAGACTGACATAGAACACACCATCTATGTCATCCGGGAGACATTATTGTGAGGGGCATGGGATCACTCAGAAGAGAGCAAGGAGTGCCTGCCTATGGGTTCTGGAAGGATTAAAATGAGAGATAGTGTAGTAGACCGCTCTGCCTGATTTTAGGAATTGTATCTCTACCCCTTGTGGCTACGGCGAGAGACGACCTTTAGAATGCCAGCCACAGGAGACAAAGCCTGTCTCTGGTAGCAAATGCTGCCTCAATTCCTCCCCCTGCCCCCAGAACTTGGTCGGAAGTCAATGACAGGTAAGACCCCTCACAGTGGGGGGGGGGCAACCTAAGGCAGACTCAATCACCTGGGAGGCCTTCATGGAAGGACTCAGGGGGCTGCAACAGAGAGCAATGGACTCTCACCCCCCCCCCCACCATGGCTTTGACAAAGCCCGAGTCCCCATGTACTCTGGGAGAAGTGCTTCCTGGTTCTAATCCCCTTAAACCTGAATACCTGTTGGGGAGAGGTGCAACTCCTTGCCTGGCCAGAGCTTGCCCTGGGGGAAAATCTGGCATCACAAAGACTTGTTGATTAACCTGTGAAATCTGCTAAAAGTGCTTTCATTCATATGATAAGGGTCTGAGAGGAAATGAGTTTGTCTCGCAAAGTTTCTGCAACTCTGACTCATAGTAAACCCTCAGACCTCTTTGTAATGTTATCTACTGTTTGATCCTTGCCGCCCTGTATTCCTGTGTATTACAACCCAATAAAAGGCTATGGAGAAAGGCACTCAGGGCCTTTTTCTCCTCGGAGAAACTGGCCACTGCTGGCCTCTTTCTCCCCAGAGAAACTGGCCACAGCCCACACCTCCATCCCCAAATAGATCTCATCTTGTCTCGGCCATATTTATTCACTCATGTGTGTCCGTGGCACCGGGGGGGGGAGGGGGGACCTTGAGAAAGTGGTCGCCACCATAAGATAGGAGTCAGGGCTAGGACCCAGGAGGTATACCAATGACATGGAAATGATACAGGATGCAGCCACAGTGGGGGCCCAAAAAGATTTAGAATGGTGTCCAGAATTCAAAGTGTGTAGAAATATTGGAGAGACATATAAGATGCCCTCTCCCCCCAAGGGACAATGAAGCAGGGCCATTGAGAGCTATTTTGCATAGCAACAGTTTTGCAGCTAACCTCTGGAATAATTGTTTAATATATCTATAACCTTTAACTGGTTTCATAGATATGTTAAATAGCTGTGGCCACGTTTGGAGCCAGAGAGAAGGGAGTAGCTTGGAACCAGGATGTTACTAGGGGCTGCGCTCCTGAGTGAGAAGGCCTATGTGAGAGCTTGGAAAAGACTGGGTCCGGGACATGAGGGGATAACTGCCCAGGTGAGGAGAGGGCCACGCTGTTTAGGGCAGAATGGAGATCCCTGCAGCCAGGTGAAGAAGAAAGCCACGTGATTTTGGTGGAATGAGAACCCCTGCAGCTTTGGTAGAAGAGGCCCACATGGCTTTGGGGTGCCCCCTTTGGCCGTGTGGCCTGGAAAAGCAGGAGAGACTTTGACTGGAACTGGGTACAAAGAACTCTTGCCAGTGGACCATGAGAGGGTACCACAGTACTTTGGATTAACTAGAGAGAGATCCTGCCTGCACAGTGACACAGCTGACGGTGCCAGCTGCCTGCAACACAGATGTGTGCTCTTTTCCTGATTTACGGTATCCGGAGTTGGGACAGTGGGAGAAGGGAGTGCTGTGTGGGTGTAGGTGTATACCCTAAAGGACTTTGATATTTTAGTGGTGGTGTTAGGCCTGAATAGCATTAAATAAACATTTTGTTTCCTTTTCACAAATCTCTGGCATTGAGAGATGTCTTTGCAATTGGCGGCGGACAGAAGAGCCCATTAGATATTAGTATTCTGTCCTTGGGAGGGGCCCCTGTTGTGTAGCAGTTTTTGGCATCCCTAGGTGGGCCAAATATTGTATTGCCCCCTCCCTCGGACCTCTTGTTCAGTAGCAGAAGGACCTGGAAAAATGATGTCAGTGTGACAGAATGATCTAGGGCTTGAAAACAATGCTGGGACAGTGAAAAGACTTCAAAAACTAAGCTGCATTTGGACAAACAATGAACACAGAAAGGCTGGCTCTACTTGGAGATGGTGGTGGGTATAGCTCTTTAATCCTCCAATATTTAATTGTGTAGTCAGAGCACTGGCTTTACCACGTCAGAAGGGAGTCTTATTCTGCACGGTGCCTGTCCTCCTCCCTGTGAGAAAGATCAGTCCAGGGTCTCCTTTGAGAGCTTCAGGATGTGCCTGGGCCTGATTCTGGGCAAGGCTGGTGATCTTGCTCGGCAGTACTCAAGCCTGTCTCTGCTTTTGCTCATTCCCAAATTTCCACCTGAAAAAGGTGGCTCTTTTGCCTTCTCCCTGCCCACAGGCGAATCCAGATGTGCTCTTTCTCTACTGGGCAGAACTCTGGGTATGGGCAGTGCCTCACCATGTGAGTTGGGCCCATGCACAGGCAGTTTGCGATGGATGGCACTTATGAATCTGGGTGATCAGAATCTCTGGGGAGCTTTCCTATCTTTAGCTGTTCTTTCTCCACATTTGGAAAGTCTGATGAGATGAATTAGAAGCAGAGCATGGACTGTGTTGTTGACAAGTGCCCAGGCATTTGTAGAGCCCAGGTAAGTTTGGGCATCCTGTCAGGAGATATGAGGAAGAGAACCACCACCAAGGTCAGGTCTCATCCCGGACCCACCCAGAGTCCCCATGAGAGAAATGAACTCTGCTTAGATGGCTCTGCTGGGGTGCTACTGAAGACATGTAAGCAGGTGGTAACAGGCTCTAGTGATGTGGTCTACAGCTTTCCCTGCTCACCTTGGACTTTATATGTGAATGGTGTGGAAGGTCCACACAAGACAATCGTATCTAATATCGTGGTGTGATCTGGGCCAAAATGCTTTTGACATGAATACAATTCAGATTTCCCCAGAGCTCCTCTTTTATAAGCAAATGTTTTATTCATGTTTCACTCATGGGTCTTCCTTGTTTAGAGTTTTGGATCCACGACATTGGCATAGAAGAGTGCCGCATGTAGACTAAGGTCTAAAAAGATGTAGTTAGACCCCTTGGACGTCTTAGGAAAGGGATCGCCAGCTTCTATTGCACCTTTCCAGTGATGGGGAGCTTAGCTTTCCCAGGCCACTATCACCATGTGGAGACAGTTGTGGTCATTAGAAATGCCTTTCTTACAGTGAGTGTGACTCTACCACTCAGATGTGTGTCTCTTTTCTTGCCTGTAGCAATGCTGTAGACACATAAAGACATGAATGCACCTCCCCTAAATCCTTTCCTTTCTAGGCCAAGCAGGCTATTAGCACTTCTCAAAGTTTAACGTGCAGATGAATTACTGGAGAATCTTGTGAAAATGCAGATTGAAATTCTGGTTCTCTAACAAGCTCTCTGGTAATGTGAAGGCCATTTGTTCATGGACCACACTTACAAAAGCCTGGGCAGAGGGTTAAGAGTGTCCAATAGTGAGGGAGGCCTGAGTTCCTAGCTTGGCCCCTCACTTAGTGACTGTGTGACCTTGGGATAACATGAGGCTGAAGAGAGCACCTCCCATAGGGTTGTTGTGAGGACAGAGGCCCAACTCAAAGCACCCCGCTCAGTGGTAACCTCTTTCTTGGTCATTTTCCACTGAAGAGCCCCAGTACCTTTGATCATTCCCTGGAGATACTCTATTTACATACCCTCTCCAGGAGCTATTTAGAAGGGTAATAATATAGTAAAGGGTCAGTACACTAAACAGAAGATGCAGGCATGGCCTTGACCTACAATTTCTACAAACAATATTTTCACATTTCTCACCACTACCTTTTTAAGCACAATGGTAGAAATGCTGATTTTTCTAGGCACTATTAATTCAGAAGATAAAGGACATATCAACTAAGGTCCATCCTGGGAGGTACACTGGCTCCATTTTTGTGCTGATTAGAAATGCTAAAGAATTTAGCTAAATTAATACACTTTGATATGGTAATATAATCTATTAGTATTTACCAAATATCATCATTTTTGATACATAGATTAAAGCTGGGAAAATTCTGGTTTCTTCATAAACTGACGCACTTTTTTTGTATTTCTGACTCAGCTTTGGTACCATCTACTGTACAAAGCCTCCTTTCCTTTCAGGCTGTGTTATGTGCTCCTCAAACCAGCCTATTAAATAACTTAGCACATGGGAGTGAATGGATTTTCTTCTTTGTTAGATTTTAATTCCCTGAGTGCAGAGACCAGGTCTTATTATCATGGTATATCTTTAGTGCCTGGTAAAGTGCCTGCCACAGATCAGGGACTCTGAAAATGTTTGTAAGAGAAAGAGGAGAGGATTATTTGCAAATGAGTTGGTCTCCTCTGACTTTTGTCCCCTGAAGGTAAAGTTACCTGCTTCTTAGGAATGTAGAGACATAACACTTTGCTATAAGTAAGAGACCTTCCTTCTAGCTGCCTTGCTGGGGAACCAGGTGTCCTTACTCTCTGATGTGAATAGATGTTGCATTCTACCAGATGCCCTTCTCCTCCTTTGCAACCACAGGGCTTAAGAGAATTGAGAAGTTGACCTTGATGTCCAAATGCCTACATTTATGTTTTCAGTTCCATCAATAGCCTTGGTTATATTACTTTTAAGACAGATTACTACTTCCTTAATATAAGCTTCCCTTATGTAACATGTATTTTGCCTTGTGGGGACATGGTTATTTTTAACTGAGGGATATTTCTTTTGTCAAGGCAATTATCTTCCTTGGCCTTGAGAATTTTAAAATGAGAGATTACTTTTCTTATTTCAGTAAGATGAAAATAGGTGAAGAGGACACTTGGCGATTTGGTGGCAGAGCTGAGATCACAACTTTGTTCTCTTTATTTGCACCCGGGTGTGTGTGTGTGACTTGTCAGATCCAGGCTTCATGGGCAACAATGGCATGTCTCCTTGCACTCCGACTCATCATTTAGCTGACTCACCAGGTGTAGACACAGATTATGGCAGCAGGCTGGGGTATTTGTGTGGTATTTTCACAATGAAATTAAGGTGAGACCACATTTGTTGAGATAAGAAACAGGTATAAAATCCTGAATCCAAATCACAAACTTGGAAAATGTTCAAGTACTTGTGTTTGTACGGTTCAGGGACTTGCTGAGCTGGATGCCTCTTCATATTTCCAGCCTGGAAACAGCAACTGTACAAAATGGCCCCTCTCCAAAATCCAAACCAAACTGAAATAAAACCCAAAAACCCACCCAAGGAGAACACATTTTGTGTGGTCCCCTCCACAGTTGCCCTTTTAAACAAGGAAGAAGGCACTTTCGTCCCTATCTCTCCCAAGTCACAAGAATGATGGGGCTTCTGAGGAAGCCCCCAGCAATAGGCCATGAGGACTGGCCTGGTTTCCCTCCCAGAATGGTTGCCCACAGTGGGTCTCTCTTCACACACCTGCACTGCTCTTGGAGGTGCAGAGGTGGTTGTGTTATACTCTGCTCTCTTGGGTTGATTCAGACACTTTCCTACAAATCCCCAAATACAACTCCCTTCTCAGCATAGAACATAGCTAATGGTCACTAAGTAGGAATAATCAGGGCCTGAATCAGGTACCAGGCTATCCTCAGTGGCTGCCTTGGGTCCTTCTCCTCTTTGCCTCCTAGCAGCAGTGGAGATCCTGGCCCCAAGAAGGCATAGGCAGGGGTTGAAGGGTCAAGGAAGGTCATGGGACTGCAGGGGATGCCAGAACTGCTGATCTGTTCACATATGAAGATCACACATGGTCTGTAGGCTAAGAAGGAGGCCCTGGAGGGCAGGTAGCCCTTTACTCAGCAGCTGAGACCCACCACTATCCACAGAAGAGACAGGAGTCCAGTGACAGAACCACATCTATAAACTCGTTTCACTTTTTAAAGGGTAGCCTCTTCTTTATCAGGAAACAGCTTTCAGGGGAAAGTTTTCTCAGTAAAGAAAACCCATCCTTTCAGATAAACATTTCTGCCATATTGCCTTATGTCAGTCCTCAGCCACTTCCACTTGAGCTGAGTTGGTAATGGCTGCTATGTCAGAGTAATAGTGTGAAGTCATCCTTGGTGCCATGTCTGACACCGAGGGGTTGTGCTGAGTGGTCTATTTGACCTACAGGGTTCAGTGCAATGTTTCTGGGGGCCTTACCCTGTCCTTGAGAAGGAGTGGGCCAGGTGTTGGAGCTGCATAGCCCTGAGGAGTCAGATGGATCCACCTTAGTGGCAGGGACAGAGGAGAAAGACAGAGGAAGGGAGGAGAAGGGAAAAGGAGTGGAGCAGATCTGGAGGCCAGAAAGGGGCTTGGAAGGGCCAGGTCATGCCAGCAGTGCCTTTCCAGGGAGGGGAGCTATAGGGGTGCACTTGAGGTGGCATGTTGTCAGGATCTTCACTTCCTTTGAGGCTTTAAGGATCTTAAATGGCTAAGTATGTAGTATGTGTATGTGAGCATAGCAATTGATTGTTCTGGGGGAGGGGGAACTAAGCTTTTCTGGGTTTATCGTGGAGGTGTTAGTCTGCTGTAACTCAAGAAATTCCTTCTGTGGCAAAGTCCTCTAGATCATTGGTGGAGATGATGGCTAGGGTTGGAGCGTCTACCCCCTCCTCCCCTGGAATCTGGGGAGGCTCACTGGCAGCCTGGCCTGCAGTGTGCTGGGTGTGGTTGCCATGAGGCCCAGGGGTTGGTTGAGGGTCAGCATTGTAGGTACTCTGGGGCCCAGAGCAGTCTGCCTCAGTGGTACCAGGGCCCTGCCTAAGAAAGGTGGGGGCAGAGAGCTGAGAAGAGCAGCGCAGTGGCATCAAGGCAGTTGCAGACAGGGGCCGGATGCTGGGGTATATTATGTAGGGGGTAGCATGCACATCTGGCAGGGGTGACTCGGGGGACCCCTCCTCAGAAGATGGGATGGGAACCTTGACATATTTGCCTGTCTCTGGGTCATAGAAGGTTTTGATTTTCACCTGAAGTGGCAGATCGAAGACAAAATACTCTCCGGATTTGGGGTCTTGGAGGACCTTCTGGCTGGCAGGGTAAGGGAGTAGGGGCATGAAGGACTGGGGCTCCCCAGGCTGCCTCCTGACTTGCTCTGAGAAGGTGGACACTGAGTGGCGGTGCAGAGGAGGGGGCAGGGCACGGATCGCAGGGAACCTGGGTAGTAGCCTCTCTCCAGGGGACCAGGGCCTGTGCTCTGAGCCTTCCAGGGAGGGCTTTTCCTCCTGGGGTTTGCCATGCATTTCCTGTGCCTGGTCAGTCTTTCTCCTCTTGCTTGCCAGCTTCTTTGCCCTCCTCAGGGCCTTTTCTGTTTTGGGTGGGACCGCTGGTGGCTTGGCTGCCATTCTTTCTAGGTGAGCAGAAGGCTCTGCTTTTTCAGGGAGGACGGCTGAGCTGGTGGCCGTGTCTAGCAATGAACCTCTTGGAGAGAGTGTCCTGAGGTTTTCTGCTGATGGCTCATTCTGGGGGTCGGAACTGGCTTCCCACGTGAAAGCATGTGTCAGGTCCTCCCTGCGGGCAACCCTAGCAGGGCTGCAGTTGGCCCAGGGGCTGGCATGGGAAGGCTCCCCTGTCATCAGGCCCAGTTCACTGGGGCCCTGAGAAGCATCATCCCAAACACTGCTGGTGGCAGGGGAGTATGCGCTGCTCTCCTCCAGGGAGCTGGTGTTGGGGGAAATTGCCATCTCACCAGGGGCCAGTTTTTTCCCTACGGGCCCTGCTTTGGGTGTAGACAAAAAGTGACCTTTGAAATCTTGTGTCTGTTCTTCCCAAGAGGTCCCCAGCTGCTGTGGGGGTGGCTGGTCTTGTAAGTCACTTTTAGGCAAAGAGATCATGGGGATGCACTTTGGAGCCTCCAGCTTCCCCTGGTCTATGGAATTGCTCTTGCCATCAATCATCACAACTTTCCATGTGGTATCTGGGGGCGGCTTCAGTCCTTCACCCTCTGCTGCAAGTAGAATAGATGAGACATTCCCCTTTGTCTCCTTCTTGCCCACACTGGACACCCACCTGTTTTCCTCTGTGCCCTTGCAGGCCACATGCTTTAAGTGTGGGCCCTTCATGCAGACAGTGGGTGTCAGGGTGCTGGGCTTTTCCTGGCTCCTGGGGGCACAAAGACCAGCATCATCTCCCAAGCCTGGCCTTGACAATTCCTCTTCTTTGTGACTACAGCCCAGTGGATCCTCTGAGGACAAGGCCCTCAGAAGGGGCAGCATGATGGGTTTTATCACAGGGGTAGCCCTGAGGGTGTTGTCTTTGATTGCAAACAGTATGTGCTTGTTTGAAGTGGAAGATGTTGAGGGGGTAAGGTCTTTGGCATGTGAGAGGGCTGCATCCTTACTTCCCCCAATCCAAGTGCCTCTGAAACTAGCTTCCTCCCTCAATGGCTTCCTGGATCTTCCTCCAGACACACTTTCCTCCTCTCCTTGCAATGCACCCTCCTTGCTCTGCTTCTCCATGCATGTTTGCCCATTACCGAGGGCAGAGTACTGTAGCTCATCTTTGCCCAGAACTTTCTCTTTCTTATCCTTCTGACTGTCACAGGTACTCATGTCATTCCTCCTGTCTTCCCACTGGCTCTCAGTAAAACACATCTTTTGCTGATCCTCAAATGAGGCAAAGGACTGATCTGAAGAGCTGGTGCTGAATTTGGCCTTACTTTTGAGGCCTGGCATAAAATCAGACTGGCTGTCACTGTAAAACACATCTTCCTCCTCGGGAGAAAGGGGCCCTGGGGAGAATTTCTGGCTGAAATTTAGATTCCGAAGTCCTTCCTCTCTCTCAGATTCTGTCTCTTGAGAGACAGATCTGGAAAACCCATTCTCTAGGCTGGCAGTCTTCAGTTGCTCCTCAGGCCTCTCTACCTCAGGCTCTCTGCTGCAAAGCTTCAGGGACAGGCAGTGTTCTCTGAAGTCTGGACACCAGATGGACCTGTCAGCACCCAAATCTGAATCTTCTTCAGTGGCATCCTTCTCATAGTTGTCCTGGTCAGCAGCCTCCCCATTGACACAGAATGGGGGTTTGGTTATAGCTGGAGGTGAGCTAAGGGTTAGATAGTTGTCTGCAGAGGTTTCACCAGGATCAGTTTTAGGGTCCTTCTGGGTACTGATGTTCGATAGAGAAGGAGGGTCAGCTGGTCTCTCCTTAGAAAGCTCCTTTGGGGAGCTTTCCTCAAGCCCATTAAGAAGGATGCCATTGATCACAGGTTCTTGCTTGTCTCTGGTTTTCTCATCAAGGCTTTTTAAGAGAGGTGAGGGACTACTGTATGTGCTCTTAACATGCTTACGCACATCCTTGAGGTTGAATAGCAGGCTAGGGGCTTTGGATTTGTAGCTTTCCTGAGATGGACACTCATGGGGCTCCTTCTCTTGATATCCATTCTGCTGCCCTGGGGGTAATGGGGTTATCTCCACTGGTGGGCTGTTGGATGAATTCAGGACATGTTTGGTGGATATAATGGGGGTCAAAAGCTCACTGATGTTAAAAGGAGGATTATAACAGTCATTGGGGTCCACAGCATTGTCAAGACCATCATTTCCTGGAAATTGCCCTTGGGGATTGTGCTTTGTATACAAGGCTGGGCCTCTCCCATTGTTCTGCTTCTCTTCTGAAGCATCTTGTGCACTTTCTTTTCCTCCTTTGCAAGTCTTTGGTTTTCTCCATGGGGGCTGGGTTGACTTCACCAGGTCAGGTTTTGAGTTGGAAGCTTTTTCCTCCATAAGGAATACTTGAACTCCTGGGTCCCTAGATCTCCAGGGTCCAGATGTAGAGAGAGATCCTGCTGTCAGCCTGTTCTTTTCTTGACCACAGTTGCCATGGAGTTGGCAGGGAGAGACTTTGTGCTCAGGAGCCTGGGACTCTCTTAATAAGGGTGTATCCTCATAATGTTTGGGTGATTTGTTTTCAGGGACAGCCTCAGTAGGATCCTTTCTCTCCAGCAGCCTTGGTTGGTGGGTGCTCCATGACTTGAAAGCACTGTTTTCACTGTGAAGGAAGGTGCCTTTGCGAGCCCACTCCTTGCTTCTTCCAGGCTCTCCCATGGCTGGTTTTTGGGGTGGAGAGGGGAACTTGGACTCCAATGAGTTGGCTATGTTTTCAGGTGTTGGGAAGAAGCTACTAGAGCCCTGACAGGCCATTTCAGGACTTTTGGGGGACTCTTGCCCTCCATTCTTTCTACAGGGCTGGTGGCTATTCTGATGGGTGCTGGAGACTTCTGCAGGTACCCTCCTCACAGTCAAAAAGGCAGAATCAAAGCAGAAGTTGACACCACTTTCTGGAAGAGGAGCAAATTGAGGGGGATTTTTGATAGCTGGAGGCTTGTTTGTAGGAAGCCTGCTATTACATTGTTGGCTCTCAGTCCTGTCAAAAGATTTAATTAATGAGGACACTTTGGAAATAGGCTTGTTGCTGTTCCTTGGGCCAGAAACTGGCACCTCCTGTCTCCTCTGGGCTGGTGTCAGTGTGGGGCTGCTTTTGGGATACTTTTCCTCACCTTGAACATATTTAGGTAGCTGTTGGAACGTAGCTGCCCAGCCTGCATGCTCTGTGCCTTGCGAGGGTAACTGGCTCCAAATGCTGCTTTTTCTATGGGTGTGGCTCACTGTTCCCTGTTGAAAATTTCCAAACACCTGATGGCTGATATCTGGGGACAGAGCCAGGTCAGAGTCACTGAAAGATGTGTCTTCTGAGATACACAAACTCCGAAATGCCCGGTCGGTGAGGCTGCTCACCTCCCTGTCTGCATCATCTAGCACACTGCCGATGCTTGAGGAGTCACTGAACCCATCCATGTACTTCTTGTTCCCTTGCATCGTCCAATGGCTAGGAAGCCTGTCCCTGCTCAGTCAGTGAGCACCTGTGGGTAATGATTCTGGAAGGGTTAAATGTAGCCCTCTTTCCACAAAATTAGAACTTCCCATAGATCCGATGCAGTTGCAGAGTGGGAATTTTTTCTCTGCAAAAGGAAGAAGAGCAGAACGTGAACAAGATATCTAACTTAGTGGCCCATATAAGAATTACACACTGGTCCAGGTGGGTAATGGTGCTTGTGATGGTTAATTTTATGTGTCAACTTGGCTGGGCCCTGGTGTCCCATTATTGCTCAAATGCCAGTCTAGATGTTGCTTTGACAGGTCTATTTTTTAGACATAATTAACATTTAAATCAATAGACTTTGTGTAAAGTAGATTGCCCTCCTTAATGTGGGTGGATTGTGTCGAAAAGACCGAGACCCCCCCCCCCCCAAGAAAGAGAGAATTCTACCTTCAGATTTTGGACTGGAGCTGCAACATCAGCTCCTTGGGTGCCCAGCCTACTGGCCTGCACTGCAGATATTGGGCTTGCCAGCCCCACAACTGCGTGAACCAGTTCCTTAAAATAAATCTCTCTCTAATGATATTTTGGCCAATAACTGATTGCATATATGATGGTGGTTCCATGATATTACAATGGAGCTCAAAAATTCCTATAGTGATGTCATAGCCATCACAATGTTGTAACACAATGCATACTCATGGTTGTGGTAATATAGGTATAAACAAACCTGCTGCACTGCCAGTCATATGAAAATATAACACATACAATTATGTACAGTATGTAATACTTGATAATGATAATAAATGGCTGTGTTACTGGTTTACATAGTTACGGTACTTTTTATTGTTATTTTGAATTATTTTCTACATATAAAAAAGTTTGCTGTAAAATAGCAGCAACCTCATACATCAATTTTTACCAAGTCTCTTGTCTGCATTGTCTTCTTTTGTGCTTGATTTAATTTTGTGTTGTTTTGTATAGTGACATGTTGTATAGGCTCATAGCCTAGAAGCAATAGACTATATCATATGGCCTGGGTGTGTAGTAGGATGTGCCATCTAGGTTTGGGTAAGTGCACTTGATGATGTTCATATAATGACAAAATTGCCTAAGGACCCATTTCTCAGAATGTATCCCCATCATTAAGAGGCACATGATTGTGTATGTACTTATTTTATGGTTTCTGTTCCTTTGGAGGACCCTATTAATATAGTGCCTAAAGTTCAGGTATGTCATTTACACAGAGACATCTTCTCTGGCATTCTGTGGGGGTATTCCCCCCTCATTCTTTATCTCACAGTGGCTGGTTTATTTTCTTCATTGTACTGAGCATGATCTAAAATTAAATTTACTTTATTGTTGCCTATTCCATCATTAGACTGTAAGAACCTGGAGCTTAGGAGCCGTTAAGCTGTCTGATCACTGATTACCCTTGTCCCACAGCCACGAAAGAGGGCACAGTCCTCCAGAATCTACCTTTCCTGCACTCCCTCACTCTCTGCTTTGCCCTTGGGTGTGGCTCTTCCCACCTTCCTGCTGGGAAGGTGCCAGCAGGATCTTGGAGGGGAAGGGATTCTCCCTTGCCTCTGGGGCTGCAGGAAGATGTCCCCACTCTTTCTGAGTGACTCCACATCTGCAGTTTCCCTAATTCTGCCTAAACTTCCATCATAGCCCCTTCATTATATTCTATTTTTTATGTTTAAAATCACAGTGAAATATACACTACATAAAATTTACCAGCTTAACCATTTTAAGTATACAGTTTAGTAGTGTTAAGTATATTCATATTGTTGTACAAACATTACCACCATCCACCTCTTTTTTAGCTTGCAAAACTAAGCTCTGTACCTATTAAACAATAACACACTGTTCTCTTCCTGCTAGCCTCTGAAACCACCATTCTACTCTCTGCCTGTATGAATTTGACTATTCTAGGTATTTCCTGAAAGTGGAATCATATGGTATTTTTCTCTTTGCTATTGGTTTATTTCACTGTGCATAATGTCCTCAAGGTTCATCCATGCTATAGCATGTGTAAGAATTTTCTTCCTTTTTAAGGGTGGATAATATTTCATTCTATGTAAGTACTGCATTTTGCTTACTCATCCATCTGTCAATGATCCCTTAGGTTGCTCCCACATTTTGCCTATTGTGAATAGTGTGCTATAAACGTTGATGTTCAAATATCTGTTCCAGATCCTGTTTTTAATTTTCTCAGGCTCGAAACCCAGAGGTAGAATTGCTGGGCCATATGGCAATTCTATTTTTTATTTTTGAAGAAACCATCATATAATTTTTCATAGCAGCTGTATCATTTTATATTCTACCAGAGTGCACAAAGTTTCCAATTTCTCCAAATCCTTGATATCACTTATTATTTTCTGTTTTTTTTTATATAACCATCTTAATGGGTTTGAGGTGGTACATTAATTCCCTTTTGGGTCCTGTATGATGATGCTGCTTTGTGCTGGGACCCTGACCACCATGACCTTCAATGCCTAGAATAGGCTAGGCTTAGAGCAGGGAATAAGTAAATCAGTACATAAAAAATAGACAAAACAGCAAGTTTAGAATCTAGAGTGGGCCTGAGTGGTGGGCATTTGGGACAGCAATCATGTGGCAGGTGCTGTGTCTTCAGCAGACAGGTGGAGCACTGTGGAGGTGGTGGCCCGTTCACATCAGCAGCAGGCAGAGTAATAATACAGTCATGGCTTTAGGGGGTGGGAGGCAGGGCTGGCTCATGTGGCAGAAGTCCCAATTCAGTCCTCGTTCCACACTCGAGAATGTGAACAATCCCAGTGCTACTGTGCTAGCAGTGCTGTGTTTCAGTACTGTAGGACAGTAGTCCTTGGGGTTTGTTGTTTACTCTCTGTTGACCATAGCACAGAGTTTCCAATTGGATTTGTGGGCTGACCAACTTGCTTTATGAATGAAATAAATGAGCAGAGGCTGCTAATTAAAAGGACTCAGAGTTCTGGCAAACAGAATGAGGTGACAAGGAGCCATTGACCTACTCTAGGAAAGCCTCTATCACATACTCCTTAGTCCTGCCTTGAAGGTCAGGGCTGCTTGCTCTCTAGAAGGCACAGTGCCTGCCTCTTAGAAGGCTATGTTGAAAAGGGACAGTGTCTGCCTCAGATCTTGCTGGCTGGCTAATTTCGCTCCTTCCCCCACTTCCTCTCTTAACCACTCATGTTCTTAGGATCCCATGCAACTAGTGTGGCCAGACTCGGGGGAAGCTCTGGTACAGGGATAGAAGTATTGGGATACCTAAGAAAATCCATGCATTCTGATCAGAGGAGTGATCTCTGCTGTCCCCTGTTGGTACTTTTCCTCCCACTTTGATGCAGACACCAAGACTGAATTGAGTGTAATTTTGGCATGGGCTGCTATAACAGAGTGCCACACACTGAGTGGCTAAAGCAGCACAAATGTATTCTCTCACAGTTCTGCAGTCTAGATGTCTCAAATTGAGGTATCAGCAGGAGGGGTTCCTTCTGAGGGCTGTGAGGGAAGGATTTATTCCAGGCCTCTCTCCTTGGCTTATAGATGCACCATCTTCTCCCTGTGTCTCTTCACATGATCTTCCTCTGAGTTTATCTCATGTCCAAATTTCTCCTCTTAATGAGGACATAAGTCCTATTGGATTACAGCCCACCCTAATGACCTCATCTTAACTATTTGCACTTAAATCCTATTTCCAAAGATTACATTCTGAGCTACTGGGGATTAGGACTTTCCCATATAAATTTTGGGGGGATACAGTTCAACTCATGACACTGAGGCATTCACTATGCAACTTGAGGGATGATCAGTGACTGCTAAGGCCAATTGACTGAAGATGGCAATGTGGACAGAAGAGCTTTCCTTGGTCCTCGATGGCACAGATGAGCTGTGAGTCCATGCTACAGCCATCTCCCTCTAGAATTTGTGTTATAGGAGTGGGGTGGGGAACCTTAGTGTCTTTAGCCAATGTCAGTTAAATTTTAGGCTCCTTGTGGTCCTGCTGATATAGGTCCTTCCAGGTGTCTTCTGTTGTTCTGAATGCTGAGGTTTTGATCCTGGGAAATAGCTGAAGTCAGTAATACTGGGGTTTCTACACTTCTACATTAAGATGAAAATAAGATAGTTGGAGATCTGAATTTAGAATCTTAGAATAAAGTAAACACCTTCCCCAGTGAAATATCCCCTACTGTCGGCAGATATTTATTTCTTTTGCATACTTAGCTTCTATCCCTTTTCTCTGAGTAAAAAAACACTCTATACCTTTTGGAGAAATTCCTCTCTCTATAGGATTCAGTTTTGGCGAGGTTAAAAGTCAAGTTGCTAGCTGAGACTACCTTGGGCCAAGTGCAGATGTGAGACCCAGATTAGGCCCACCTTTCATTTGTCCTTGAGTGACGCAAGGCTAGAAACATGCTCAGGTATCCTTTGCAGTGTCAGAGCTCCCTCTTTGCCCTTTCTCCACCTAGAACTTCAACCTTCTTCTTTAGTCTACAAGGGCTACAGTTTCCTTGGAATATTTACCAATTTTTGCTTAATTTGTCCAGCATCTGTTTCTGTCTTGCTTGATCAAAGAACCCTACAATTCCAGACAGTAATGCAGAATGTTCACTGATATTTGGAGACTTGGAAAGTCACCACATTCCTTCTGCTTCAGGAAAAAGAGAGACTGCCCTATTTATAGATTTATTCAAATAATTTCTTCAATTGCGACTTGATTTACCTGGGTTCAGCTGGGATAGTTGTTAAGTTGGCCTCATCATCCCTTCCCCATCCCCCCCAGTCCCCCATGAACAACTAAAGGTGTTTCTAGTTGGTGGTTCCATACCTGTTATAGCAGCGAGGGCTGCTGGTACCTACCTTGCTGGGTTTTAGGACCTATAGTTTTAAAACTTCTTTTCATGCTTATGTTTTCTGTCATTACTGCCCATCTAGAAAAAAAGAGGAAAAATAATTTCAGTGAAATGCAACTGACCAAAGGGCCAAGAACTTGTTCAATGCAAAAGCTGAACATATTCTTAAATACTGACTTTAAATATCAGTAATACAGTAACAGTAATGACTTTAAATTCAGCCTTCATTTTTTAAAAATCAATACTTGAACTCAACAAAATTGCAAGCATAGTCATTTTCAGTGAAAACCAATATGGGGCCAATTTTTTAAAAAGATTTTATTTATTCATTTTTAGAGAGAGGGGAAGGGAGGGAGAAAGAGAGGGAGGGAAATATCAATGTGTGGTTGCCTCTCATGTGGTCCCCACTGGGAACCTGGCCTGCAACTCAGGGATGTGCCTTGATTGGGATCAAACTGGTGACCTTTTGGTTCGCAGCCCATGCTCAATGCACTGAGCTACACCAGCCAGGTCTGGGGCCAATTTTTATTCTTTCCAAGATTTCTTAATATTGTCTATGGTCCAAGAAATCTTCAGGAACCTGCTTTAAGCTTTTAAGATTTCTAATGTGATTGGCCCAGTTGAGAAATGTTTTCACTAGTCATACCCGACTAGATGCCCTTTTTTTTCCCATGTGAATTAGTAACTCTGGTTTTGCAATAAAGGAAATCAGAGCAGCTAAACTTAAATCCACATGTCTAGCAGTAGCACTGTGTTCAATTTATTGTTGGCAGGAATCTTGACTATCTATTTTGACAGCTAAAATAACCAAAAAGCTGCCCAGGAGAGTTTTAAGAGTTCTGAGGATAAAGTGTAAAGTCATTAAATCCACTACACACATTTTAAAGGCAGATCACAAGACCTCCCTTATTTTGCAGTTCCTGAATATTCATCTAGTCCACAGTAGTTCATTACTAGTATTCGCAATCATGATAACTAAAATTGGTTGAGTACATTTCATTTGAGACTCACAAAGTTGCTTTGTGTCACCACCATCCAATTGGCCTGTCCCTGACTCCCGGGCTCTCCTTCATGTTCCCAGGGCAGCTAGGTTTACTTTCTCAGTAGATTATATGTCATAAATATATATCATATGTCTAGAAATTGATGATTGCTTCTTTATCTCAAATAGAAAGAAAATTCTTTAAATTCAGAAAATGTACCTTATGTGCCTCTGTGTGCCAAACACACCCATACAGAAGACAAATAAATATGTGGTGATACTCTGAAGTGTATATATTTATCATAAATTTTTCTAAAGGGCAAAAAAGACACAGAAAAGAAGGAATAAGAAAGAAGAAAAAATTCTACTGAGAGGGACCTCTGGCCTTGGGTCTTCAGGCCATCTGAAAAATTCAGAGTGACCAATTTGTGTCACTGAATAGTGAGTCCACTTCACTTCCTACAGCTCCACAGAGGTATAATTTAGGGATGAGAATGATATTAATCCATGTCTAACATTAGAAGGATGAGACAGGCACAGAAGGATGTAGCGACTTTTATTTGTGAACATTTAGGGGACCTACCTGTGCTTGGGTTCATGAACTCCCTGTCATTGTTGCTGGCATGCATTTTTCAGAGGTCAGCACAGAACTGTCTTGTTCACTGCTTTGGGTCATTTGAAGGAAGCCAGCTGAATTGGTGAAAAGTCTGGCTCATAGAGCTCTTCTCAGGTAAAAGGATGTGGTTACCCTCAAGAGATATAAATGAGCAAAAATTGCATATTACTGAGTTATGTTATAAAAAAGGTCTGGAATCTGTCCTAGTGAATACATAGACACAAAAATGAATATTGAACCATGGCCTGGTAAGTTCCTATTCACATCTTTGGCCTTCAGAATAGTTTGTTTTTAAATGCTTCTTATCTCCTCCTTATCTCCTAATATTTCCTGAACTCATTTTGCTTCCCCTACCCTATGGGATCTGCTAACAAGTAATCTTTGCTCTTCATCTGACTTAGCTTCTAAGCTGCAATCATGACTATTGGCTACTGTCTTCTTGAGAGGCTCTCCTACCTTGACCTGTGGGATACACAGTCTTCTCCCTGCCCCACCTGAATGTTCAGCCTCTTGTTTTCCTTTCCTGGATGGTTGGATTTCTTCTGCTCTCAGCCCCAGGACTACTTCTCTTCCCCACCTATGGTCTCCACAGGGACAATTTCACCTGTGGTCACAGGGAGCAGTTACACTGATGGCATGTGCAGCCAAGCCACTGGTCTAGGCTCCAGGCCCAATCTCACACTGCCCACTGGAGACCTGCATACCTGTGTCTCACAGCTTCACAAACTCACATCTAAAATAGAAGCCATGACCTTCCCATAAGCCATTTTTGGGGGATTTTAGGAATTTATGACTTCTTCTCTCTGTCTCCCCCATCTGATCCATCTGTCTCCTCTCCATTGCCAGGATCATCTATTTGAATCAAAATATGTCAAATAAAGTAAATCTGAGTGAGCAACTGCGTAAGTCAGCTTTTTCTCACAATGAGCAATGAAATATCCTCTTTATAGCTACTACTAAATTGTACCTTCTACAATATCTTCTCATGTGATGATTTTTCCATGTCATATCACATGATGCCGTTGAACTATATGGAATGGAATATACTGCATTTTGCAGAAACAATGTTCCCTCTCTCCCTCTCCTAGCCCTTTAAAAATGCCTCTGCATGGCCCTCAACATGACCTTGCGGGGGGTGAAGCTGGATGTCTCCCCACATTCTTCCTCCCTCTAGGCCTATGGTACACTGGATGAGGAAACTACAGGCCCAGGTGGGTCTTGGCATGGCTCCTTGGAGTGGTAGTCCCTCTGCCTGGAATGTGTCTCTCTGTTCCCTTGTCACAAACAGTTTATCACTTTCTCTTAAGTTCTACTATTTCTTGTGGATCCTTAAAAAAAATCACCTGTATTGCATTTCTGCACTTTGTCTGCAGTGAATCTGTTTTTCCAAGAAGGCTTTGAGCTCCTGGAAATGAGATGTCCAGTCTTGATTATCTTTGACTGACAGGATGTCTGGTGTGTGGTAGGCATTGATCAGTGTTTTCAGACTACCTTGCTGAGTGTGCTTCTTGGGCCCCAAGGATGTGATGACAGAGGTTTGCTGCAAGTGTGGTGTGCAAATGGAAGGCTACAAACTCTGCTACCCCATGTTCTATTTGTCTCACTTGGGGCTCCCAGACAGCAGCTGGCTCAGGGCTGAGAGTTCACACAGCCCCAGTTCTGTTGCTCTGCCCCAGGCTGTGAGGACAGGAAGTAGCAAGGAGAAGAGACTTGTCCATGTCACCCCCTAGGGACCCCAATTTAGATCTCCATGTACAGCCACTCATCCAAGCCCCAAGACTGAGGAGCTGTGACAGGCCCACAGAACCAGAGTCCTAATTGGTGAATCTAGGAGGCCCCAGCTTCAACATAATAATCATCCATGTGGATGTGAACTATCAGCTTAATTTCTGAGATGACAACGGAGCTTCAGAGAGGTGAAGAGAATGTTCCATATCAACAAACTTTTTTAGTATAAGAGGCCTGTCTGGAAAAAGTCCAGTCATTGTTAATAAAATGAGAAAGGTGTGTGTGACATGGATATAACCCAGCAGCCAAGGAGAGTGGACTGGAATGCACATGTGTGAACAATGACTTCACTGTGCTGGTCAGTGGGGGTGGTAGATGCCCTTGAGTGGGCATGTGCACTGTTTGGCCATTGCATTCAAAATGAGTGAGTGAGTAGAGCAACAAATCTGCATCAAATTTTTCATTAAGCTTGAACATTCCTCCACAGAAACTATTTGGATGGTTAAGAAGGCAGAAACTATGGCGGACTGGTGATTGGCAGCTTCATCACAACAGTGTGCCCACTGATGCATCATGTCTCATGCAGAATTTTTTGGCAAGACATCAAATCACCAGGTGTCTCAGACCCTCTACAGCCAACACTTGGTGTCCTGTGACTTCTGGCTTTTCCCAAAACTAAAATCACCTTTGAAAAAGAAGAGATTTCAGACCATGGACAAGATTCAGGAAAATATGATGGGGCAGCTGATGGTGATTGGGAAAACTGTGTGAGGTCCCAAAGTGCCTACTTTGAAGAAGACAGAGGAGTCATTGTCCTATGTACAATGTTTCTTATATTTTCTTCAATAGATGTCTTCATTTTTTATATTGTATGGCTGGATAGTTTCTGGACAGACCTATGTCCATGCAATATTAGAATATACGTTTTTTAGAGTTATCTTTAAAATTAATCATCACATACTTAAACTAAAAATACAAACTCATTATTTATAGAGTGCATACTGAGATGACTTGTGTTTGCATATCAACCTGCTATTCAGGACATACTTCAGCATCTACTATCTTGTTTAATTTTCATTACCCCTATGAGGTGGTGGGACTAGGCCTTATTGTCATCATTTTTAGGTGGATAAATATAAGCAAAGAAAGGTACAGAATATTGCTCAGTGTTACACAGCATGCAAAGAAGAGAATTGGGACTGGAATGCACTTGATCACCCTGCACCTTCTTCAAGGTAAAACTCTGACCCTCTGGTCATGGGCTAAGGTGCAGAAGGGTGTGTTTTGGGCTCATAAACTAGAGTTCAAGTGAGAATTGAGGATAGGTGGGGGAAAGGAGGGCTTTCATTTCTATTTATGGCCCAACAATTTTCTCAGCTCATATCTTCACAACCATAGGAACGAAACTGTTGATCAGGCCGGTTAAGTACAGGGCCCCTCCTGCTTGGGGAGGTGTGCTTGGGGGCATCCAGGTGCCTGATATAGAGCTGGAAAGAACTCTCTGATGCTCTGTAGGAGTTGGTTCAATTCTCTTGGCTGACCTGTCTCTGCGCAGGAAGCCATTGGGGTTTGCTTTGCTGCTGGGTTTGACCACTTGCTTGTAGTGTGGTTTTTGAGCCCAAGCTCTTTGGGTGAATTTAATTACCTTAATTGAATGATGTTTTCACTTATCAGTAAAGAGAAAGCAGGAAGCCAGTTGAGATGACAGGGGTTGGCTTTATCACACCCAGAAGGCCCTAACAAATTGGAATTGATTTCTCTTACTCCTCTTTCTGGGTGGTTTTTTGAGTCATTGACTCAGGCATGCCTGGAGGAGCTGTTCACTGCAGTGAACTGTGAAGGATGGCCCGTTCCATCTGGTGAATGTGCAGAGGTCCCACATGCAGGCTCCGCCACCCAGCCCCAACCTACCCCACCTTGAGCCTCACCCTGGTCCCCTGTTGGTCAGTCTTGGGCCAGGCTCTTGACCTCTCTGAGTAATTGCCAACAGCACTCCTGCTTGATGTTTCAGAGGTAATATCCTTGTCTATGTCCTAAATTTTATGAAGATGAACAATAAAATGGCAAATTGACTTTCTTAGTTGGGGTCTTTCAGGAGAGAGTAGCAGATATGTATCTAGTGTCTAAGGGGTGGCAGGTCTCAGGTCCATTGTTGCACATGCCTGTGCTCATTCCTTCCTTCCCCATATTACAGCTCAGGAAACAGAATACATGTGCAAGGGTCCTCCAAGACCTGGTGCACATATGAAGGTAGGATTTCCCAGGGATGTGGCTGAAGAAAACAGCTTGCCTGAGATTTCGGGGCCCATGGAGCTGGCTGTGAGTTGTTGTCACAGTGGCTGTGGATGTTCTTCTGCCCTTGGGAGAGAGGTCAGGAGCAGGGATGCTTTCTTTCTGGGGCTCAGACCAGCCTCACTCCCATGTATGGCCTGGGCCATAGTCTGGTCTGCTGTGTTAAAATGGGATGTTTCCTCAGGAGCCTCTGAACATTGCCCAGACTTGGGGCTGTGTCTGCAGTTAGAGGCCAGGAAACCAGCACAAGAGAGGCTGGGTCTGATTCAACTGAGTGCTCCTTAGGACAGGATGGTGCTAGCATCCGGCATCACACAACTTGGAGGAACCCACTTTCAGGAGAAAAGAGGATAAGTAAGGCATGGAGACATGGGGTGGGGGCACTGAGCAATGTTTACAACTAGCTCTCTGGGGAAAAAGCCCTGCTTTGTAGCATTGGTGAATTTCCTTCTACTGACTTGGTGTCCAGGACTGAGTTGAGATGAGGTGTGAACAGAGGTCCCCCATGAAGTATACTTGTATTTGTGCTGATAACAATATTTGGGCAGTGGTCTCATCAATTTCTGGTGGTCAGGCATTGTAGGAGTCAGGTCTTTGAGCTCCTGATGGTGAGATGGACTGAAGTATCACTATCTCTGGATGCTTCCATCTACCAGAATGAGCTTAGACCTGGCACTGTCCAGCTTCTCGGCCCTGCTCTACCAGGAGTCTCATATATATATATATATATATATATATATATATATATATATATATATATATATAAAATTCATGGAGCAAAACTTACCCTGCTTGTATGTACTGTCTGATATTTCTGTTCTATTCTGTTCTTTCTTTAAAAAACCATACTTTCAATTTAGTAAGTGATTTCAGAAATCGATAATGAGTTATGATGTGAAGGGGTTTGAAAAAGAACTATTGTAGATCAGTAAACTCTAGGTATTCCTGATTAGGCTCAATTGCTGATGGGCTGTTCATAGTGGTGCTGGGTTTTTGATTGAGAAATGGAGGCCTGAGGCCCAACCACAGTGACTGGCATGTTCTGACCAGATTCACATAAGAGAGGGGAGAAGATACCTGGGCAGTGGGCTCACGGGTCAGGCCTTGCGTTTTTGGTTTAGTGCTCAGTTACCACACAATTCCTGGGCCTAGCACAGGGCCATTCATTTGTTAAACAAATAGCATCTCTTCATCTTCCATGGCCTGCCTCTTCCCACCAGGAGCATTTGCTTTAGTAAAGCCAGAGAAGGCATTTGTTAGACCTGGCTGTCTTGTGGGGAGTCTCCAGGAGGGTACTCTTTCCTGTCCCTGGATGGCCAGGAAGGTAAGAGTATCTGGGATAGGGGACAGCCACAACCACACACACACACACACACACACACACACACACACACACACACACACACACCAGAGCCTGGCTATCCCTGGTCTCTTTGGTTCCCTCTGGAGGCTGGAAAGTAGATGGGAGATAGCTAGTTGGTCAAGGATAGCTGCCCTTTCTCCAACCAGTGTCACAGCATCACAGTGAGTCCAGCTCTGTCAGGGAAGAAAAGAGAGAACTTCCTTGTCATGAGAGGCATGGTCATGGCACAGAGTAACATTCTGCCTTCTTCATGGAATCCCTCATGGAATGTTTTACAGAGGCAAGAAAAGAACTCAGACATGGCCACTTAAGTCATCTTTCTAAAAATTAAACTGTAGTTTTTCTAATAGATAAAGTTATTTAAAACAGTGACTCGAGTTGATATGAAAGATCAGTTTCTTGGAGAGCTCCCACCGTGTCAAAACCTTGTCCCCCTTCCCTTCCTGAAGGCAGTATCCTTGCTTTTCAGAAGGCACTGGGGGCTTGTTAGACAGCATACTGGGTCCTACCCCAGAGACACCACTCAGAAGGTTGGGGCACTTGTGGTGCTGGGGATGCTGTGTGGAAACCACACTTAAAGCACCCTACCCTGTGCTTTGAGTGATGAGAGGCTGTGCTACTTTCTGGGAGGTTGTATTTATAGGTCACAGGCTCTTTGGGCCACTTGGATCTAATGGTTGTCAACCACTGTGGTTTGCACTGTTTGCCTTGTTCTGGGCCTGCTCTGGGAAGGCCATGCATATGTGGGGCACAAAGATGAATCAGAAATTTGGCCTACTCCAAGAGATGATTGCCTCTAAGGACAGACCAAGCAGAAGTCAATGTGTGCTGCAGGGTCAAGGATGGAATGAGAGAGGTCTTACCAGGCAGGGCATGCTAAAAGGCAGCTGTGAGAGGGCTTTGGCTGCTGGTCTGTGCACAGCCAGACAGCTGGGTCCAACCTGATTGCTGAGTGAGGGTGGTGGAAAGAGCAGGAGTTTAGAGTCAGACCAGTGCTCCCATTTCCTAGCCCCATTTTACCTCAACAAATTACTTCACCTCTATGAGCCTATGCTTGTTCATGTTCATCTGCAATGATACCGACCTCCCTGGGTGGTTGTGAAGAGTGGAGATAAAGGATTGCTAAGGGTCTAGAAGAGACCTACACAGAGTAAGTATTTGATGAGTGGATGCTTCCACCACTAGAGACCTTGGGTTTTTAAAGCAGACAGTGCAGGGAAGGAATCCCATATCTACCACAACAGTACTAACATACTGACAGGATTGCTGAATGCTTTAAATGAGCTCATGTATAAAAAGCACATAGTGGTGCTCACTAAATGCTGTCATGCTTCATTTCTAATTCCCAGATGGGTCAGTATAACATTATGTGAAGGGCATGGACTAAAGCCAGACCCCCTTGAGTGTGGTTCCTGGCTGTATTGGCTAAGAGTGGCCCTAAGCACATTACAAAATCTCTTTGAGTTTTGGTTTCCTCATCTGTAAAATGAAAACTACTAAAAGCACCTGCCTTGTGGGGTCACTATGAGGACCTAGTGATTAATGTCTGTGAAGTGGTAGGCCTTTAGTGACTATCCATAAATGTCACTGTTGTCCCCACAATACAGTCTACTTCACCCAGGGCCAGGGTCCTGAGAGATGACTTTTTCTTTCCCCGAAATAAGAGGGGTTGAGAAGCAAGGCAGTGACTGATCAGAGCATCCAAAGGACTCTCTTGTCCTTGGAACCCTGTATTTAGTCCAATTTCCAAACACTTCAGCTCTATTCCCAAACTTTGTGAGGCTGATGACACAGGTTCCCAAGGGAATGCACTTGGCAGCAAGTGGCCTTCAGTCTTCCACATGAGAACTGAGGTTGGCAGAGAAACTGCTCTGCCTCTACCTTGACACAGAAGGCCATGCATTACTCACACATGCAGCCCCTTCAGAGAATGTTCCAGAAGGATGCCAGTATCCCAGAGTGGGGATGATGCATCTCAGTAGTGCTTTACATGCTCCATTTTTTAGTCTTTTTAAAAAATATTTTATTTATTTATCTTTAGAGGGGAAGGAGAGAAACATCAATGTATGGCTGCCTCTAGTGCATCCCCTGCTGGGAACTGGCCTGCAACCCAGGCACATGCCCTGACTGGGAATCGAACCGTGATCCTCTGGTTCACAGGTCTGCCCTCAATCCACTGAGCTACACCAGCCAGGGCTCTTGGGTCTTGATCCATCTGTCTTGATCTTG